ACCACCACACTTGGTCTGCTCAAGAACTGCAGAATTACTCTGGTAAGACTGGATATTTTTCTGTCAGATGCAACTGAAGGAGAAAGAGTGGCTGTCAGGGAATTGTGATTACATGGTGTGAAAACCCTTCAGGTCAGTTGGAAAGTGATGTGTCACACACTTTCCACTCTGATGCATGACTAAGGAAGAATGCAAAGATTGATGGCAAAGTGTGATTAGGTGGATCAATAAACCACAGGATGTTTTGGATTCTGGAGCTGTAAGGAACAGTGGGAGGCATTGGAAAGTGTGTTTTCACCAGCACCTAGGGACTGCTCCCATGCCTGAAAGCAGGTACGAAACTAAGTAGGAAATGGCAGCAAGAAGCTTCAAACTGAATTGGCAGTGCCACAGAAAAAGTAGGGAAAAATAGGAAATGGGACCCCAGCACATTCTGAAATTTGCTGTGCAGCAAGATGTTTGTCTGTGGACTCTTTGTCCTTTACTGTGTGGGATGATTAAAGTAAAAAAGGCTCTTACCCTAAAGTATGAAATTCTTTCCCTCTGCTGTGTTCCTAGATTGTTGATATTCTAATTTTGAACAGATGTCTCTAGTAAGTAAATGGTGATTCAGTTTTGCATTGGCCAAGTTCATGTTCTGGCTGTAGACAGGAGGGACACACATTTCTTCCTGTGAAGGCATCAGAGCTCAGTCTGTGACTTATTAAATTGATGTGATGGTGGCCAATGCTCAGGTTCATTAACTGTAACAATTGTATTCCCTGAAAATTACCAGCCATTCCAAGGAGGGAAGAACCATGCTGGGATGATCTTTGGCTTTGTGAGAGGTGACTGATTCCAAGAAGCATTTACACATGCCAATGCTCAGGGGATCAGGTAACAGTTGAAAAGAGAGGATCTGAAATGTTGTGACTTTTGCTATAACTTTAAGAGAAGATAATTAGGGTTGCTGTGCCTGCATTCAGCTGGATTCAGAACAATGTTGATGCAGCTGCAAAAGGCCCAGAGCTGTTGGAATGTGGTCTGTGATGTGGTTGATTCAGCAGCTGAACTGAGGAATTTTATATCTAAGAGCTCTTTACTGAAACCAAAATATATCAGAACATAAATCACCCAGCACTTTTAAGCAGAGTCCTGGTGAAACTGCTCAGTAGTTTGTGAATTGAGGCGATTGGACTAATTGGATGTTGGACAGAGCCTGATTGAGTTCATGTCTCATGGCTGGAAATCACAAACACTGAAAGCTTAGTTCACCACGCCTTTATCACATCACCTCTTGTTTCAGGAATCACAGCTTTTGTTCATGCCAGGATCAATGTCTGAACAGAGAGTGTTTCCAGTAGCCTGGGATCTGGATGCTTCTTTCAAGGCCAAGATGATGAAGGATCTGGGCCTTGATACTCGCAAGATGAGCAGCTCTGCTTGGTGTAAGAGCAGGGACAGTCAAGTGTGTTCTCTGAACAAGTGTCTGATACTGGGATGGACTGGGGAAGGTTCCCTGATCACTTGTCCTCCGATGCAGTCCTCTGGTCACCTGGATCACAGGATTTTTGTTCTCTGCCTCAGCAAAGCTCCTCTGTTAAGTTTCCACTTTATTTGCTAAATTAATTTTCTATGAACTGAAAAGAGACAATAGGTTTTATTTGTGTATGTTTTGTTGGGGTTTTAAAAAATTTTTTGGTGCATCTTTCCTTGCTACTAGCTCTTTCAAATGAGGAAATTCCCAGTCATTTTCCCTAGTGCTTTTCATACTCACTTACTTTGTAGACTATTTGTTTATTTGATTTGTTATTTAAAATCTGTTTCCTTATGTCTCTTCTTTAATTTCCTCTTCTTTATCAGGGCTGCATGAAGGTAAGCTGAGTCCCAAAGCTATTCTATCCTAAATTCTGGTATTTTATATATATATATATATATATAAAACTTCAGGGCTAATGGCACCTATACCTGGGATTATTTATGGGTTTTCATAAAAAAGAAAGAGGAAAATACAGAATTGCCTCTTCTCTTCTCTTCCTTCCCCACTTCCCAACCCCCTCCCCACAGAGGAGTTTAATGTTAAATGATAAATGTGGAAATTAGAGACTGTCGAGAAAATCCAATTTGGTGAGGAGTTTTAAAAATCCCATAATAAACGCCGAGTGAAATGTATGATTTAATGCGGGGCGCCAATGGCTGCTATTATGTGCTATTAGCAAATCGGGGTTGAGAGTGAATCTTTATCACGGGGCGCGCGCGGGCCGGGGCCGCCTTTGCTGCTGCTATTGATTTGTAGCCGCTTGTCATAATGACATGGGGAAGCAATGAATGGAAGATGTGCTTTTGATAGGATTGAAGGGTGCAAAGGGGGGAGAAAAAATTCAGCAAGTTTTCTATCTCTTCTGCCTGATTAGATTTTTTTCTTCTTTTAAGAGCTTTCACATTCCAATAAAAATGCTAAATCAGCTCTGAAGCAGAATTGTTAGGGAGTAAATAGCCAGTCACATTTAAAGGAGGGAAATATCTGACTTTATGGCTCTGGCTTCACAGCAACTGATGAGTCTAAAGAATATTTCTGGCTCCACAGAAATTACAGTAGTGGGTGGTGCAAGGGTGGCTGGGACCCAGTCAGAGGACCTGCAGGCAGTAGGCATCGACATCTGTGGGATGCAGTTTGTCAGGAGGCACAGGAATTAAATCCCCAGTGCTGGTGTTTAAGGAGAGGAGGGTGTGCTTCATGACCTCTGAAACAAAAGTGACTGCAATGAAAAAAAATCTATATGCCTTATAGTAACAAATAATAAAGGTCTCCTCTGCACCTGGAAAGAAGATTTTTGCCACTTTAATTACAGGTGTTCATTGTCAGAAACCCAACCCAGGTTTAATGGGAAAGGAGTGCAATCCCTGTGCTGTTTGGGGAAAGTAGTGTGACTGTACTGGGGGCTTTCCTGCAAGTCAGGCTCTTAGGAACCAAGAGTAGGCCCCTGCCCAGCCATGGCTCTGGTGCACGTGTGGAATGAGACAAAATCCAGGTGTGCTCAGGAGTGGATCTGAGCACGGGTCTGTGTGTGCCTTTGCCTTTCTGATTAGCAGATCCTCGTGCTTTTAATTTCTTGTCTTCCAAATATTTTGCCAGCCCTGGGGAGGTGGAACTTGCCTACACCCCAAGGAGCAGAGTTATACCTTGAGCTCCTTTGCATCAAAGTCCGCACATGTCTTCTCTCTTTACTGCTATGATTATTACTGTTCTTGATATTATTATTATTACTCTGGCTGGCCAGGCTGAAGAGCTGTGGGTTGAGTAAAGTTTGGAACTCTGATATTTCAGTCCTCCCTTTTGGCCTGACCAGCCTCAGCTGCTCTTACTTACATAAACCTCAAAGAGCAGCTGAGAGAACGTGGTTTCCAGGGCTCACTCTCAGAGTATGAAATAGCAGATTAGAAATCAATGCAAAGAGTCCAAGTTCCCACTTCATCACTCAGGAGAAAGAAATACAGTATTCCTGGTCTGAGCTGTATGCTCATGAAAATCACATCCTTTAAAACAGCCTTTGAATGAAACAGCGATCAGTGGAGATGGGCGGATTTCATGTCAGAGGCAGGCAGGCTGATGGTGTGTCTGACGTGGTGTTCACCTCACCACCCCTGCTCTGACGTCACTCTCCAGGAGTGCACAGCTCATGTCCTGCTGGAGGCGGCTGCACATCTGCCACAGAAATTCAGTGCAAAACCTTGATGTGTCAAATGCTGCTTTTTGTGGCAGACAAAGCAGAGAGGATTAGCACCTGACCTGTTCCAGCTCAAGAGCTTTGACTATGAATCACACAGGGCTGGACACTTTAGGAATCCATCTCACCCCTCAAGCCATTCCAGCACACTCATACAAACAGAATGGATTATTCCTACAGGAATGGATGAACAATGAACCAGTGGGAACCCTTTGCTAGGGGAAAGTGCTATTTTGGGCCAGTCTTTTGTGGTGTTTGATAAGAAGATAATGAATTGATTCTCTGCATTTATTTGTGAAGGTAAATGTAGGCTGGGAATCAACTTTGGGAAGCTTTTGGTGCTAGTGTGATATTGCTTCCAGAATAGTTGCTTATACTTCTGAACAGATGAGTCAGCAAAAGTACAGAGGCATTCCAGCTCTGGTCTGTCCTATCTTTTGGCCCCTAGGTACAAATTTTATTATACCAGCAGAGGAGGCTGATCTGACAACAGCTTTCAAACATGAAGATGCTGCTGCCAAAGGAAAAGGAATAGTTTGTTTCCTGTGTTGAAGACTTGATGGCTTTAAATAACCACTGGGTTAGATCAGCAGCCTGGAACTTGAAGTCTGTGAACCGTCTGGGTTCTTTTGAAAGTGCTCTGGTCAATCTGTCTGTAAGTGTTCAGTGTAACTGTTCACATTGTATTACCTGTTTCCTGGGAAGTCAGAGACACCTTTTTGAAAAATGACAGGAAAAGGCCAACTTTGGTCCTTCCTTGCTCCTGCTCATGTCAGGGGTGGGACCTCTGAAGGTGCCTTCCAGCCCAAACAGTGCTGTGAGTCTGTGATCTGGATGTTTTACCCCAAGTGCATGTGGGTTGTGTGGCCCATGACATTGGATGCAAATTCTGTCAATGTATGATCACTATTTAGACCCCTCTATGGTGAAACATGAACAATCTTGGTCTTTTGCTTAGTATTTCATGAATAAACCTGGGCATAGAAAACCCTAAACCCACAGTGACAAGGATAAACAACGGAATGGCAAACAGTAACATAATTTTGGTAAGATCCCGTCAGGAGAGCAAAGCTGTGGAATTCCTGAGTTTATTGTCTTCCCTCTGCCCCTCTTTCTTATGTTTTCCCTTGGTTGAAAAGGGAGGAGGATAGGGCAGATTCTAACAGTAGCTTCTAAAATCACCTCTTTTCTTTCAGTGAGTACAGGTGAGCTATCTCCACAGGCTCCTAAAAGCACATTGATCATTTTCAATTTCAACGCTTTTCTGTAATAAAACTGTTTAGTGATAGCAGATAATTTTGGGGCTGTTTATTGTGTTGCTGTCTGTTGGAAGACCTGCAAAACCCTTTTCTGTCATGCTGAGGGTCCAAGGCTCTGTCATGCAAGGAGCCCCTTGCATGTGCACCCTCCCACTCCCCAGCACCACTGGGGCGCTGGCTCCAGGCACAGCTCTCTGAGCCGCTGCCCAGAGCATTCAGAGATGTCAGCAGATGTGAGCACTCTGACAGAACTCAGTGCCATGGTTTAGTTGAGGTGCTAGGGCATGGGTTGGACGCGATGATCTTGAAGGTGTCTTCCAACCTGGTGATTCTGTAATTCTGTGAATATAGGAAAAAAGACATTAGGATAAATCAGGTGTTGACTTAATCATGATCTTTTTAACAAGATGCAGAAATATTCCTCTGTAGGCAGTAATGAGGCAGTACATCCACTGCCAAATGTCCCTTCTAATTCTTTCAGTAAGAAATAAACATGACTATCTGACATCCTATAGCACAAGTGCCTTCGCAGTGATGCCGTCCAAGGACTGACCAGGTGGTGTGGGAAGTAGTTGTGGGTTTTGCAGGTTATCTCATTTTTGTCAGCACAGTACAAATGTTTAAATATTGCTGGTCTTTGCTGCAGACCCTCTCCTTAGAAATCAGGGTTGGAGTTTCTGGAGCTGTTTAAAACTACATAACTGGCCATGCTAAAAGAGAATGTTCCAGTGTTCCTCCCTTCTCAGCTTTGAAATTTGTTCCTGCACCTCCTTGTGCTGGCATCGGAGCCAAAGCAGAGGCAGTCTGGTGAGTGTTGATGTGGGGTAACATCCCATTAGAGGTGAGAGGACATCTTCTTCCTCCTTGGAAGTTTTCCAGCACGTTAGGTCAAACACACAGTAAAGCACTTCATGACAATTTTGCAGGGTGCTCTGTTCCCACTGCCCTGGGTGGATTCTGAGCTCTTTTCGGTTCTCAAGGCTCATGGTGTAGCAGCTGTCAGACAGTGTGACAGCCACACATCCTGTTAGCCAACATGACTCCCACATGCTCTGTGGGACACGTGCCAGGCACTGAAACAGCACCCAGGGCCATGGATCTGACTAGGCGAGCAGGAGGAGTGTGCTCAGCAGTAGCCTTGCTCACAGGCTGCCAAGACAAATATTCCTTAAAGGAGACCATTAAGTAAAATAATCTTAATATACATAGGGAACATCTATGACAAAATATATGATGCACGTGTGTATACTTGCTGTATTTAAAACTTGAATTAGTGAGAGGGACACAGCATCATGTTTGTCCGAGGAATGCTCAGAACTGCTCAGTGGAGACAGTGTGCTTGGGATAATCTGTTGCCTGGTGAAATGTGTTCCTGTTCTGAGTTAGATGTGCAAGATACAGGACACAAAACACCAGTTCTCCTGGGAATGTGATCCAGCTGTTCTGTGTGGCCTTTGAAATGTGCACTTCATGCTGCTGGAGATGAGTGTCATGGCAGCATATGAGAGAGTTTTAGAGGCACACTGTCTCCCCACACCCCTGGGGCAGCCCTGCCCTGCATCACTACAACCCTGGAGCAGCTGCTCTCTAAGCCTGAACAGCTCATTCTCCATTCTGTTCTGGCTCCAACCATGGACGACAAACAGACTCTGCACATACGTGTGGGTAGGGAAGATGTGCTTGGGAAGTTTGCAATAGCTCAGATGTGACCCCTGAATACCTGAGAGGACAGTCAGTTCCCTTGGTGCTGATTGAAATCACTGGGCTCACACAGAGCTGTGTGTCACGGTGTTTGTCATTAGCTTTCTCCTGGGGTTTCCTGGCCTGAGTGATGCACGTTAGCTGCCTGACTAATGCTTGGCACCATACAGAGACCTGCAAAATGCTTACAGAGGAACGTCAAGCACACCTTTAAATATCTCCTCTTTATGATTCGACCTGTGAGTCTGATGCTTGCTTGGGCACACAGGTATTTAATCCATACTGAGTTGGAACTCTTTACCTGCATCCTGCAGGTCATAATGCTAGCAGGTGGGAATATGCCAATAAAATGTGCTGATAATTCTCATCCTGCAGCATTCTCTCCAAGCAGTCTATCTCTTCCTTGTTCTCCATGTCCTCACGAAGAAGGTAAGGGGAGAGTTAAGGGGTTGGGGAACTGCTGACTTTACAGCAGTTCAAGCAGGGGCCAGCAAGGCCTGAAGTGGGATGGGACTGGGAGGAGAGAGTACAAACCATCTGCTAGTAACATGTCCATCTTGTCTGAAAGTAGGGTGGGGTTCCTGCATCCACACCAAACACTGAAGGAGCAAAAAGGTAAATAGTAACTTGCAACATGTGTCAAATGTGGGGTCAGTGAGTTGTGCCATGAACTGATGTGTCCTGCTGGCCCTGAGGAGTTGAGCTGAAAGGAGATGGGCACAGCACCAAAATATGCAACAGCAGTGATGGGGGCAGTCCAAGAGCTGGGCTGTGTGTCCTGCAGAGAGCTCATCAATGCAATGGAGGCATGAGCCTGGCCACTGGTAAGCCCCAGTATATGGCACTGTGTTCCATGATTTTAGGATTGTAGGGAAGGAGAGGGATAGAACAATATTTGGTAAAACCACTGCAGTATAGAAGCTATTTGCAGGTGCAAAATGTCACGGTGTGCTGATGTGGGGAGAGGTGAGAGCTGGGCTGGAGTAAGGGGGAAAAGGAAGAAAGGAACAGTGGAGCTCAGCGGATGTTGTCCTGGTTTGGGATTGTGCTTAGGGATCTTTTCAGGGTTTAGTCAGTGATGGAGCTTGTGCTGACAGCAGCAGCTCAGAAACAGCAGAATTTGGTTATGATGCTCTCTGGGAGATACCACACTTTCCTGTAGAAACCCCTGAAGCTAACAGGCTCTGGGCTCAAGAGAGAAACCACTCGAGCAATCCATCTGGAACTAATGGGGTTTGTGCCTTTGATAGGGCTGTGCTTTTCAATACACCTTCTGTAGCCTTTGAATCTGGTGAGAGCTGAACCTTGTTATAATCATTTCCACACAGGACAACAAAGGTTCCTATTTAACCCAAAATTTAGTCAGCTATACCCTCCCTGGCAAATAAGCATGAATAATTACTGCAAATTATTGGGAAAAAAACATCTGTCTTAATTACATCCCAGAGGATGAAATCTCCCACCTTGTCTAAGTGCAGAAAGAGCAGCTGGCAAATGGAGGTTTCTCTCTGTCCACTAAATGGAACCTGTTTTCACCAACCCCAGACAGTTCTTAGCCTGTTTATTCTCCTGTTAATTAACGTTGGCACCTCAGAAGGACTTACCTGAGCCAGGAAGGAGGCAACCGCCGTGCTCTTTCCCCATCTTGGGAGGAGGTGCTCACTGCAGTGCCGGCCTGAGGCATGGAGTCGGTGACTGGTGGCCAAGTGGGTCCGAGTCCTGATGTCTCACAGAGAGAATGAATTCCAAATGCTCCGTTTCATCCACCCCAAAAGGCTTGAAACTGTGGGGACAGCTATTAGGAATCTTCCTGGACATGACCAAAGGTGTTAGTTCACCCTATATTAAAAATCACTTCTGGGCCTGGGCTTGACTGCACAAAAATATAAAGTAATCTGGAGAGTCTTTTATCTCCACTAGTAACAGAACAGCAATCTCCTCATGATTGCTGTGAAGATGTCTGTTGGAAAATGAAACCTGTCTGTTTCATGCAGGAAAAAATGCCCGTTGCTACCATCAGCTGCCATTTCCCCCAGTGCTGCCAATAAAAAGGTATTTGTGTCCTTGGGGTCTGCCACCGATTTGTTCCTCTTGTACAGTCTCTGAAAATCTTACTTGTTCATTGCAAATGTGCTGTGTCTGTGATGGAAGGAGCTGCTGCTCTCCAAACTTGAGTCTGGATGCTCCAGGGGACTGCTGGGGACAGGGAAGCTGCTACCTGGAGCTGTCCTTTAGGGAAGGGAAGGTGAGGCAAGGGCTTTGCAGGGAGAGGACCTTAATCTGAATCACAAACTTTAATTTTGTTGGAAATGTAAGATTAGCTGCAATAAAAGCTAAAAGGGAAGTACCTTGAACTCTCTGAAAAATCCTGAACTTCCTATTAATAGATCTGTGTTTAGAATAACATGACACATCAAGTTTCCCCAAGCACTGAATCATGTGCATTTCCATTAGTGCTCAGCATGTCTGCAGTTACACAGCCCCATCTGACTCCATCCCTCCTCTGCAGGCTCTGGAGTCATGGTGCAGCAAGAACCTTCATGGGTTCTGTAGCATCTCAGCTGTGGAGATTCATCACTGGCCTGGTGATTTTACAAAACATTTGTGTCCTCCGTACTTTATTAGTTCCTGACAGACTGAATGTTTATAACATACTTCTCAGCGAGCTGTTTGCAACTCATCGCCCTGCTTGCTTTATAGTCTATAAATATTTAATTCTTTAATAAACTGCTTATATGTAATATCAAATGACTGATAAAACCCTGTACTTCCCTCCCCTCTTCAGCAATGCTACTATTTGCAAAACAGTTCTTTTGGTGTTTTGAATAGCAATATATTCTTTAAATGCTTGAATTTCCTTTTCCTAACTAGCAATTTCTTCAGGTTATTTGGTGAATTGACAAACAACACAATGGCTTCTGCAGTGCTCTGGGAGCTGCCCTTTCCTAAAGTCTCCATGGGGAGACTTCCAAATAGTCAACTGACCATTCCAACTGGCTGCAATCTGAGTGTCTTGAACCCAGGGGGTGATATTTCTGGTAATATTTCCCATCTGTGCATGTTGGGAAGTGGCAGGAACTATTTGAGCCTGTTGGATGCAGAGCGAGGTGCAGGATGCTCCATGGGGGTGTGATGGGTTAGCATCCTGACTCTTGCTGTGTGCTGCACCCCCCTCCTTCTGCCTTGCCCACCGTATTCTCTATGCTCATTTTCCCAGCACAGAGCACAGTCTCCTTCCTGCTCCTCTTTGGTAGCACTTGTGGAGTGACTCTGATTGGGTTTGGTCCTAAGCTTCGTTCCATTTTCCCTGGGGGTTTCTCTATCTGAGGAGCAGGCAGCAGGCTGCTGGACTCCTCTGTCCAGTCCTCAGCCTTTGAGCTCCTCTTGGAGTGCCAGATCCTGTTCGACGTGCAACAGGAGCAGAAACCTTGAAGACTGCAGAAGTGTTAACCAAGTGAATCCATGGCCAGAGCCATCAATCTGCTCTGCAGCCTACTCCATGTCTGGGTTAGAAAACCCTCTGAGGCTGTCAACCAGCCATTGTTAGGGTGATGGGCTGCACTGGGCTGCACCTGGCTGCACCAGGATCTCTGGACAGAGTGGACAGGCCTGTGGAGCTGGCAGGGAGGGCTGTCTATGAGTATGGACACGGGAAGAGATGGTGACATTGCACCACCATGTTTGTGCCTCCTAGCCTGTCCATGAATCCTTGTCCTACCCTGCGCCTTAGGGCAGATTTCTGCTCAGGCTTTGCCCTGTTAGTCCCATCCTTAAGGCTCATGGCATGCCAAGGCACCATTCAGGATTGGGCACCCTGCTCTGCAAAACCAGGTTGGGGAAGGATTCAGCACCTGTAAGGATGACAAGGGCATGGTAGGGGCATGGTCCTTCTGTAGAGTTGCTTTCTGTTGGTTTCAGTAGTTCCATATTCCCAGGCTCTGTTTGGTCTGGACACCTCGGTACTGACCTGCTTTGAGGCTGGAGGTCAGAACGATGAGGCAGAGCCAGGCAGCACCAGCAGGGTTGGCGTTCTGCAGCATCCAGATCAGCAGTGTCACAGCACTGGGGTCAGGAAGCCATTGGCTGTGTGGTTGATGGGGTGGAACTAGATTTTCATTAAGGTCCTTCTGACCCAAACCATTCCATGATATGATTCTAGGATCTGCTCAGATCATTCCATCCGATCACGGCAGCTCTGTTCCTCACAGACAGCTTTGGGCTGCTCACTTGGGTCCGGGCTGGTTTGACTGCAGGTTCCTTGTCACCAGGGTGGCAACATGCCTTAGTTGTGCCCCTGAGAGGCTGCATGGGCATGGGCAGGACATGCACACAGAGCTGTTGGGTCAGGTTGCCTGTTGGGTTATCCTTCACATCCAGAATTTTTGCAGGCAGTTTCTAGTGGCAAGCCCAGGTTTGGAATTGCTGCCCGGAGGCCATCCTAGTGTCCTGGTTCTGAACAGACCTGGCAGCCTTTTCTCAGTCTCCTGGGCACCCTTGCAGAGCAGGGAATGCAGAAGGGACACATCTGTTGAGTTGTGGAAAAGGAATGGAGGGAGGTGACAGCTGGATGGGCCTGTGGTCAGGAGTCTGAACAGCATGGGGAAGCAGCTGCCATCTCTTCTACAGGTCATTGCACCCCCTGCACATTGCTCCTTAGACACAGACCAGAGTGTAGCCCTCCTGTCTGGGGTCTCAATGTTTGAGCCTAAGGCCCCCTGGTTACTTTGTGCCTGGGGGTCATGGGCTCTCACACTGCTGTGCCTGTGACAGGCAGCACACCCTTAGAGACAGTAGGGCCGCCAAGAGATTGCTCAGGAGCCTTTCTGGAGCCACAGGTATGGTCAGTGCATGCCCAGAGCATGGGAGCAGAGGAGAATTCTCCCACTCTGGGTCCCATATGCAACTGACCTTACTCTCCACCTGCCTCTGCCTTTTTGAGTGGAGACGAAAACAGTACTGTTTCCCTTTCTGCAGCACAGGTCCTGTCCACCACCAAGGGTGTGAGGAGGCTGTACAGTTGTCCAGGATCAGTGCAGGGCAACTTATGAGGCGAATATCCCTGAGCTGAGCTCACACGGCTGATGTCACAGCATTGCTGTTGACTGTTGGCTCATTCTGCCTCTCTTTGTTCCTTGCTGATGGATATGGGTGGAGGTCCCAACCCAGAAAAGCAGCTGGACAGAGCAACCAAAAGGTCCTGTTCCCCACACATTTTTGTACTTATTATATCCAGGTACCATTCACTACTCTGAGGAAAATGAGTGAGGGTGGATCTGACCAGCTCTGGACTCCCTGTCCTCGGCAGGCTTCCCAGTGGCACAGTGGCCAAAGCTGCTCTGCCCCAAGCCCCTGTGTCCCACCAACCTGTGGTGGGGATCCACCAGCCACTGTGTCAGCACTCTGTCCCTTGGGATGCCAGCCTGGCATCAGCCAGCACCTGGATGGCCTCTGCTGTCACTCCCTCGCTGGGCTGTCATCAGGCCCCTCCTTTGTCACTGAGCTGCGGCATTTAAAACATTCTCCCTCCGGTTCCTTTACTCCTATCCCCCTTCCACCACACACTTCATGGTATTTCTGAATGATAACCAGGAATCATCCAGGCAGCTCCCAGCACTCCAGGTCTCCAGCAGCGAGCACGCCTGGTGCCCTGGCTGAGGGATGAATGATGATAAGTAAATCACATGGTGGGCTGAACGATTTCCCCAAATGAGCCTGTTTGTCCCAGGCACAGTGCAAAACCCTCTTCTCCTTGGTGATAACCTTTCTGTGTGCTCACATTATGCATGTATTCATGTGACTTCCTCTGCCTCACTGCCACCTCTTGATTTAAATAAAAATAATTTATGTGGACATTCCTTCAGTTAGGATTCCCCCCCCAATAATATTTCGTTGATGCTCTGAACCCAAATGGGGTCATTATGCTTTTGCATATCATTAGGGCTTTATGAAGAACAACAGCGACATCTGCATGTGCCGCAGTGCCACAGAGATGGGGGAAAAATACAGAAAACAAACCCCAAATGAGCTCCAAGCTCATCTGGCTCTGTCTTTCCTCAGTGCCTTTGCCTCTATCACGGACACAAGTAATTGTACAGTGTAACCACATCATGGCTCATCTGAATATTCATAACCGACACAAAGACTTGGAGGAGAAGAGGAATGGGGAGGAAAAGGAAGGTAATTTAAATATAAAACAGCATTTCATTTGGAAGCAGAGTTCCCCATCCAGCTCAAGAGATTGTCTTGGTACTGATTCTGTCTGTCCATCTTCTCTATAGAAGCGTGGGCAGTGGGAGCGTCGCGCCCGCAGCCCCCACTGTGGAGAGAGAAAATAAAGCACAACAACAAACAGCGGCAGAACTGCCCCCAGCCAAAAGGGATGTTTGAAGAGTCGCCAACGGTGGCTAACCAGCTGCTGGTCTCCAGGAAAGAAATAGTCTATTGAGAGAGCTTTATAAAGACCCCAATTAATATGTTGTGCATGTATAAGATCTACAAAGAGCCCACTGTGTTCCTCCCCCCGCAGCCACCACCTTCTCTTCTTGATAAATGCCAGTGGAGAAGGATCTGTGCTACCAAATAATTGATTAATCACTTCAGTGGTGAAAACGCCCCTCTCCAAAACAGAGAAGAAAAACAAACACAAAAAGAGGCAACAATTTGCTAATTAGCGTGTAAATTACCGCTGGTTCCATCCTTCTTTGTGCTTTTAAAAAGGAAAAGAAAAGGGAAAGAGTAAATATAATCCCCATCTTAATGTATATGCTGTCTTCATTTCTTTTGTATTACTTTGGTATCCTTCAGCAGAATGAACACAGCAGTGTAATGTTGAGGCTGTGGCTGGCTCTGCTAGCTCGTTCCCCAAAGAGCTCCTATTTCCATTCCACTGGAGCTTATATTCCTTTAAATGTCTAGTGCAGCATCATTTCCCCCTTTCTAATACATCACTCTGCTGGAATTAGAAGAATCCAAGGTTATATCCAACTTCAAAGGTTTCCAAGTCATCATGATTTTAGTAAAAGTAGAAGACAGATCATGGAACAAGTCCCTGGCTTTTGAAGATAGGCATCACAGGGACCTTCCTCCCTCTGTCTCGTTCTCACTCTCCCACTCTCTCCCCCCAACTTTGTACCTCTCCAGCTCTGAATGTCCCGCGCTAGCGTGGTTTAATGATATGCAAATGAAATATGCATAAAACCATTCTACTGTATGATGATTAAACACTGGAGACATTAGCCGCCGACGCTTCACTGTTTGACTATAATAATCTTCCCCGAGCATCCACTTTGATTGCGGAGTTATGGAAACCCGTAGCAGTTGGCAGAGAGGGAGTAAGAGAGAGCGAAGGAAGGAGAGGTGCAGGGACGTATCACCCATCTCTGCATTTATCCCACTCCAAGAGACATTTCCCCTCTTTGTACTGCGTTCCTACTGCTGTCTTTTGTAATCCATCCATGCGGTCGCACCAGGGCAATTAACGGGAAAAAACCCTCTTTTCTCTTAATGTTTCAAAGCTCATTAGCCAAACGATTATTCCTCATTAACAGCGAAAGCTCATTCATTAAAAGAAAAAATATGCCCAAAAGATGCCAGCACTGTTAATCCCGAGCCCTGTAGCTGGGCTGTAGATCCTATGCTAGTATTTTCCATGCAGAAGGGAAGTGCACCAAGCCACAAAAAAAAAGCAAAAAAAAAAAAAAAAAAAAAAAAAAAAAAAAAAAAATAGCAATAATTTTGTGAGTTTTGTAAAATCCGCAAGAGAGGCAATTAATATTCCCATTGTATGACTTTATTTTTTGTCTCTCCCTTTTGTCTCCAGTGCCCTTCCCTGGCTCAGCGCCCAGTGCCAACAGAACACCTTTCAGGATCCTCAGCAGCGCAGACACCGTAAGTAGCCAGCCTTGTCCAGAAGCCCCTGTGCCCTCCGGACCCCGTGCTCCTTCCCTTGCTCGCCCTCCGAGTGCCACCTGGGTTTTACAAGTAGCACCTTCCAAATCTCTCTGTCTTCAAGTTTGTGCATGTCTGTGTGGCATCCCTCCTCCTCCTTCACTCCCATAGTGGATCTCGTGAAGGGCTTCAGATCGGCCCCATTCATCTCCCTGGTGATAGCAGTGAATGTAGATAAATCTCTGCTGTCTGCTTGCTGCTCCAGTATGATTTTTATTTTGTCTTCCGTGTACACCTAGGTCAAAAAGTGGGATGTATACTGACGGTGGGTGAGTGTGTGTGTGTGTGTGTCTCTGTCTCTTCCTCACTCCCTGTCGTTCTCTCTCACTGATGCACACACACATCTCCCTGCGTGTGTTACACGCGTGCACACAAATAAATACCCCCACACGTGTACACAGAGGCACACACGCATCTCGTCACCCCCCTGCCACAGCTCCTCTGCACCGACCGAGGCGGTGTGTGCATGTGTGTGTGTGTCTGTACGCACTGTTCCGTGTGCGTGTGCACACACAGGCAGATCGCTACACCGTCAAACATTCCCTCTCCTCCCAGCAGAGGCTGTGTGCAGTCTGATCCTGCCCTGTAAGAGCGGTACTCCTTCCTCCCTTCCTTCCCTCGGCTGTTCGGAGACCTTGGCGTTCGCTCCTCGGAGTCCCTCCCGAGCTGCAGATTTGGCACCTTTCCCTGAGGTTGTCCAAGTGGCAAATGGCACCGGCCGGAGCTCGCATTCTTGCAGCTTCTCTGGGCATTTCTCCCTCCATGTCGACTACTCCCTTTTGTTTGTTGTTGACTGGGCTGGGTGTGGTTGGGCTTTTTTTGGCATTAATTGTAAACGAACCTGAATGGCAAAACACGCCAACAGCTTGCGGGGAAAAAAAAAGCCAAAAAAAAAATAAAAAAGCAAGCCCCACACAAACGCCTTCTGCTGCGACAGATGCCCATGTTGCCCCTGGCATGGAGAGCGGGCACAAGGGGTTTGTCGATGAGGTTTTTTCGATTGCTGTGTGTATTGTTCGCATTTCCCTTCTCCATTTATTTTTAAAGACTCCAAGATGCCGGCCTCGGCTTGGAACGGAGCGGTGTCATGGCGGAGACGACGGCCTTTGTCTCGCAGGGTGTGAAAGCATCCGTTGTGCTGGCTCCACTGCGGCAGAATGATGTCTAAAGGGGGAAAAGTGCTGGAAGTCCGAGTTGTGCGGCGCTGGCGGGGGAGCCCCATCCCCATGGTGTGCGTCCGAGGAAGGGCTCACGGCGGAGGAGCCCGCTCTGTAATCCTGGCACTTGCGCCTCCGGTCGCTGCCTGCCGTTTGCTCCTGGGGGTCTGGATAATCTCCCTTGGCTCTACGGCACTGTCTGGCCCGCGCTCAGGGCCCCCGTAACATATACCCGCTGCCGCGATCGCAGGGAGCTGTGGCGTTGCCACTGAATGGATGGCACTGTGCCAACTCCGCTGCCATCCGCCCTTGCAGCTCTTTTCCTCCCTCCTCCCTCCCGCTCTCCCCTCCTCCTCCTCCTCCCGTCGACTTGATGTTAATTAACACACGGGTTAATTGATTTTAAAAGCTGGAGAATTACAGTTAAGTTTTCCCAGCGGGTCC